GGAGACCGCCAGCTCGACCCAGCTAACTGCCCGTTTGGTACAGTTCTGGAGTTCCTGCAGGCCTGTTTATCCGCAGGGTTGACCCACTCCACCCTAGAGGTCTTCGTGGCGGCCATTGCGGCCTACCACGCCCCTCTCGGTGGCCATTCAGGGGGAAGACACCCTCTTCCTACACGTTTCCTCCGCGGTGCGCTGAGACCGAGTCCTCCGGCCAGAGAAGCTTGTGCTAAGTGGTGGATCAGGATGCTATTCCATAGCCTTGAGCCCTCTGATCTCCCCTCTCCTTCGGGGGTCAAGGCTCACTCCTCCAGAAGTTGGCCTTCGGGATGGCGGGCACCACCTACTTTAGCCATTCCTGGCTCCCTTTTCTCTCCCCTTAGTTGTGCTCTTCCACACTAGGCAGGGATTTGCGAGTCTGGCGGCGTGGGCATTCTCGTTCCCGTAGCGTTTCGACGCAGCTCGAGTTCCTGAAGGGGAACGTCTCCAGGTTACGTATGTAACCATGGTTCCCCGAAGGGAACGAGACGCTGCGTCTCAGGGCCATACTTCCGACATCCCTGCCAGCGCTTGCTTCACTCCTAGAAGCTGACGCCGGTTTCACCGCACGTGCTTTTATGCTTTCTGGTCGCTACGTCACCCCACCCGTGACGTCTCGCCCATCCATTGGACTGATTACACATGTGATTCAGAGCGTGGTCACGCTGGAGGCGTTCCCGTAGCGTTTCGATGCAGCGTCTCGTTCCCTTCGGGGGAACCATGGTTACATACGTAACCTGGAGACGTTATTGCAAAAATAGAGAGTATTCAGCAGGGGTCAGACAACTTAGGCATCTATTAGATTTATTTTATTTAAGGTGTGTATTCTAGAAATACTGAACTCCTTTGCATCTGCATGTTAATCTACTGTAAATATTGCATTAAATCATCCTCACAGTCATGTAGCCTGTATTATTTAGTTGAGTTGAATGGGAAGCCAAACTCTATTTTCTTCACTATTTGATCAGATGATAAGCCACAGTATGTTCGGTTGTATTTGTTGCTTTTTGGATTTCAGAACAATACTTGCTACAAAAAAGAAGTTACTTCTATCTTTTTTTTTTTTTTTGGAGTTTTACAACCAGACCTACACAAACCTTGCTATTCTACACAAACCACAATGACTGTGATTATACAAAAATATGCACTCAACTTATCTCCACATGACACATAACTCATAGGGAACAACAAACACGACAACACCAGTGAAAATAATCTAGCCAACTTAAAAAAAAAGAGTAAAACACTAAACACTAAGATGGTAATTTGCATAATTAATTAATTTGCATAATTAATTCTTTCTTTTTGGAGGGTATGGCACAGTGTTTGAAATTACATTTAAAATGGCACGCCGTGTCAAACAGGTTTCAAAGTTTCAACCCCTGCAATACATACTGAGAAATTCTGTCTCTGCAATATTAGCAGTCATTTGTCATTGGTAATAAGCCACTTTTCATATTTTTCACAGTATGCAGCCCAGTGACAATCCTGTAACAGACAGTTTACAATTGTTAGAGAGTCCCTATGGCACATTAAAGGGTAAGTTCACCCAAAATGAAAAGTAGGCTGTTTTACTCACCCCCGAGGCATCCTATGTGTATATGACTTTCTTCTTTCAGACGAATCCAGTCGGAGTTATATTAAAAACTGTCCTGGCTATTCCAAGCTCTACCATTGCAGTCAGCGGGTGTTGCAGTGCTTCAGTCCCAAAGAAGTAAAATAAAAAGGTCCTATCCATAAAAAAAGTGTCTCACACAGCTCTGGGGGGTGAACAAAGGCCTTCTGTAGCGAATCGATGCGTTTTTGTAAGAAAAATATCCATATTCAAAACGTAATGATCACTTTAATGTAGCTTGCGCTCACTGTTGTACACGGAAGCAGCTCCGGGAGGATGACGTATGGAGGTCGGCTTTGCGCATGCGCCGCTCAGAAGTGACGCACGCGGAAGCGCAGGGGAGAGATCAAACCAACGGTCACTAATTAGAAGTACAAAACAAGGATTTGTAAAGAAGAATGTCAGAGGATTT